AAAAAAAAAAAAAAAAAAAAAAAAAAGTGCATATATTATGCATGTCAATTTGCAGTATTGTTTTCTGCTTTATAACATGGGAAATGTTTCTTCTAGTCATCAAATGTACCCCTCAGTGAAGGTAGGTAGCTTTCCTCTTGGCTCTGCATACTTTTTTAATCTTACAATTATTCCTGGGTATTTTGCGGTCAAATGGCTATTGTGAAAATGATTTAATTCATTTTATCTACCACATTATTGGTCATGTACAGGAAAGCTATTCATATATTTTTTCTCTTGATGTTCATGGGGACAAAGAGTGATGAATTTGTATCTTTCTGTTCCCTTGTGGAAGTGGTACAACCACCATCAAGTGGCTTCATCATTCCTGCCTGTCTCAGTGCTTCTGCCCTTTGACTAGTTAATCATGGTGCTGGTTATGGAGCTGAGATGTATGCATGGCATGGGCATTAACTTTACAGTAATATGTGCAGATTTCTATTGTGTCATGTGTGGCTTTGTCGCCAGTTCACCACTAGTAGGTGTTTTCAGTGTGCCTGGTAACATGTATCTACAAATGAGGTTGGTTGTAATGTTCTTGCTCTGTGGCCTCATTTTCAGATTTTTGTGTCATTATTATACTTACTAAAACGTTTCCTCTTCCATACTGTTGTCTGGCCCCATCTTGGTGTTTTACTTCTGTGCTGGAGCATCACCTGCGTTTCAGCTAGGAAGCCACTGCGGGGGGCCCAGATCCCCCACCTCCTGTTCTTACCTGTAGTTTTTTATTGGAATGTTAATTTCCTGTTAAAACTCAACCACATTAATTTGTTTACGATCATCTTTGGCTCTTTCTTGCCAAAATGGCACAGCTGAGAACTTGTGTTGAGGACAGGAGGACCCTCAAGCCTGAATTATTTATGAAGCAGCTCTTTAAGGAGAAGTTTTTCCCACCCTCTGCTTGCCTCTCCCTTGCCACTCTCCGGTCTGTTTAGTCTAGACTGAGGGCACTTGCTTCGGCACTTTTATTGCCTGGCAAAATTCCTGTCCTTACAGAGTTTATACTTCAGTGGGGTACATAGACAATAAAGAATAAGTAAAGTGTACAGTAAATTAGAAAATGTGCTGGGAGGGGTGAATGGTAGTAGGAGGCTTGCACAGGACACACTGAGGTTCAGGGTTTGTGCCCAGCCTGGCTACCCTTCCACCTGTGTGCTGACCCGGCCTTTCCTTCCACACAGGGACCTTCCAGAGTAGTGGACTGTCTTCACACCTTTTCTCATCAGTGCCCTCCTTGGGGGCCTGTGATCCGCAGAGGAAGAGTCTCCTGGACTGAGCACACAGGCATGGTCACCACAGGGCTATGTGGCCAGGGTATTGAGTGGCTGGGAGGGGAAGCTGGAGGGGGAGCAATGGAGGCAGGGTGGGCGGGGCACCATCTCCTTTCTGCACAGTCTCCTTCTTGCTTAAGAATTTGCACCTGTTTTGTGGGCAACGAATGCAACTTCAGGGTTACGAGAATTGTGGTCACTTGTGCTTTTTTTTTTTTTTTTAAAAGGATGGCAGTAATAGGACCCTTTCCAGGTCTGCGGCTGATTTCTGTGAGCAACAACAGAATGGGATTTATAAACGTGAGTACAACAGCAGGTGTCTCCGTATCCCTGCCTGAGCTGTGTGTGGGCACACTGCATCCTCAGGCATTGTTCCTCTGTGATGGGGCCCAACTTGCCAGGGTTCCATTGAGGCAGGACTCAGCACTAGGCAGTGAATAGATCCCGTTTCTAAGGTGTCTTCTACATGTTCTGCTGCCACGTGGATGAGCAGCAGCCTTGGCTCCACCCGTCTCCACCAGTGAGTAAAGGCCAATTCCCTACCCAAGGCAGGGAATGCCTCCACCTCCCACCTGCAGTCCTTGACCCCGTGCAGTTTACAAAGTGTTCCTTCATTCATAAGTTGTCGTGATGAAGAAAGAAGTCAGTAGCAAAATGACCCTCTTACGGAGTTACAAAATGGGGTTGTTATGGAGAACAATGATCTGCAGGGGATCTGGGGTCTGGCATGGCCTTGACGCCGAGCAAGTGAGAAGGCAGCTGACCTTCGACAGCTACTATTTTGTTTGTCCAGCATGCAGGTAAGTTAGTCCTGTGCAGGTACGTTACTCCAGTAGATCATGACGAGGGGGACTAACTTGAAAAAATGGCCATGTGCCGAACTAAGAACTTCACAGATACTCACCCAGACCAACGTTCAGAGACAGGGAGCATCCCCATGAGAACTAGAGGAAGCTGAAGATGAGGAGCTGATCCCCTCACAGGTACAGTAGTCCCCTCTCATCCTCCAAATGTGTTCCAAGAGTTGACATTATCCATGTGGCCTTATTAACCTCCTGGCCTGTCTCAACCTGTCTTCATGACTCTACCTAAAAATCCTGGGCTTACCCAACTGGCCATAACTTCTTTCCATGTCCACCTGTTCTTACTCACCTGGTTGTAATTTGCTGGCTTCAATCTCCCTTCAAAACTCAGCTGATTTTACCTGCTAAGATTTACCCACCTGCCTTATGATCTTATGAAGCTTTTGTCATTGCTCCCCTGCCCTTGCTCCTCTTGGTCTTAGCCAACTCATGTTAAGATTCTGGCCAGATTCCATTAGCCTTCCCCACCTGGCCTGACCCTAGGGGCCTTAACCTCCTGGCCTGAATTAGCAACCTAGTTTTCCCAGCTACTCTTACTGATTCTACATTACCCACATGGCATCCACACTGGGTTTTCACAACTGTCCTTAGCCTTCTGATTTTATCTAACAGGACTTAAGCTCCTGGATTTACCTCCCTAGGTTTTCTTACTTGGTTTTATCACCTCCCTGCTCTTTTTCCCTAACTTTACCCGCAACTCCATGCCCCAGCCCCAGCCCCATATTTAGATATCTTGCATTACCCCCCGGCCTTAACCTCACGATCTTCCCAACCTGGATGACCAGCATAGTTTACCAACCTGGCATTCACAACTGGCCTTAACCTTTCATTCTAACTCACATGGCCTTAACCTCCTGACCTAGTGTGCCTAGTATTAACCTCTTGGCATTACCCAGGTGGAGTTAGCCATCTACCTCTATTTGTGAAGGCATTAACTTATTGGTGTAAGCCCCCCAGACTTTTCAGTCATTTGGCTTCCTGACCTGGTCTAAATCTCATGGGTTTGCCAAGTTTAGATGTTCCCACCTGTCTTATGAACCTCCTGGCCTTACCCACCCATTATGAATCTCCTGGCTTTATGCACCTAGCATACCCATCTGACTTTACTCAGCTCATTCTAGGGCCATGGCCAGACCGTATTAGCATTCCTCATCTGTCCTAAACCTAAGGGCCTTAACCTCATGGCCTAACAACTTGTATTAGCAACCTAGTTTTCCTATCTAGTCTTAAAGACCACAGGTTACCCACATGGCCTTCACACCTTGGTTGATACAACTGGCTCTAACTTTCTGGTTTTATCTACCAGGCATTAACCCTGGGTATATCTCCCTAGGTGTACTCCCCTGCCTTATTTCCTATATTTACACCCCTGCTTCCCCATTACTTTTGCATGCAAACACCTCACATTAGCCACATAACTCAAGCATATACCAAGTGGGAAGCTGTTCAACACCTCTCACTAATTACAAACTAAAAGGTATCCTCCACAAAGGAGCCATGGGGGCAGGGTAAACTTAATGTTTCTCAACAATACTCAGCTGCCCTCTCCAGGGGCCTGGCCTCAGCCTGGACAACTTAATCTGCTGGCTTCATGTCCTACTGGTGTTTACCACCTGTTTCATTGAGCTGGCCTCCACTTCCTTGCCTTCGCTCCAGTCTTACCCACTTAGTATTGGGCTCCAGTTGTTGTTTGACTGGCTTGGCAACTTGCCCTTAATCATACTGAGTGTTTTCCCTGTTGATTTCACAGCCTGGGGTTACTCAAATAGTCCTTTATTGAGCTGGATTTAGATACCGAGTTTTAACAACCTGGCCAAACTCAGACAGCCTTATTAACCTGTTTGCATTCGTCACTTTACTTTATCCTCATGGTGTGACGAACTTGACTACCTGCCCAGTCTTCATGACTTTGCCTAAAAATCCTGGCCTTACCGGACTGGCCATAACTTCCTGCCATTGTCCGTGTGTTCTTACTCACCTGGTCGTAACTCGCTGGCCTTAATCTCCGGGCCCAGGCCCATCCCCAGGCCCAACCCCATCCCCATCCCCATCCCCATCCCCAACCCCGTCTTTACCCAAAACTCCATGTCCCAGTTCCAGCCCCAACCCTAGGTTTACCCCCAGCTCCATGGCCCAGGCCAAGGCTCAGGCCCAGCCCCAGCCCCAGGTTTACCCCCAACTCCGTTGCTCAGCTCCAGCTCCAGCCCCAGCCCCACCCTGAGCCCCAGCCCCAGCCCCACCCTGAGCCCCAGCCCCAGCCCCACCCCTAGCCCGAGCCCCAGGCTCAGACCCAGGCCCAGGTCCATCCCCAGCCCTAGCTCCACCCCCAACTCCATGGCCTATTTTCAGGCCCGAGCACAGGCCAATGCCAAGCCTGAGCCCCAGGTTTACCTCCAACTCCGTGTCTCAGGCCCAGGCCCAGGTCCAATCCCAGCCATAGCTTTACCCCCAACTGCATGTCCCAGGCCCAGGCCCAGGCCAAGGGCCAGGCCCATCTCAAGATCTAGCCTTACCTCCAACTCCATGTCCCAAGCCTAGGACTAGGCCTAGGCCCAGGTCCATCCCCAGCCCTAGCTTCACCCCCAACTCCATGTCTGAGTCCCTGGCCAAGGTCCATGCCCATCCACAGCCCCAGCTTTACCCCCAATTCCATGTCCCAGGCCCAGGCCAAGGCTTAGGCCATGCCTCAGCCCTAGCTGTATCCCCAACTCCATGGCCCAGCCCCAGGCCCAGCCCCAGCTTTTCCCCCGACTCCATGTCTGAGGCCGAGGCCCAGGTCCAGGCCCAGGCCCAGCCCCCCAAGATTTATCACAAACTCCATGTCCCAGGCCCTGGCCCAGGCCCAGGCCCAGCCCCAGCCCCAGCTTTACCCCCAACTCTGAGTCCCAGCCCCAGCCCTAGCACCAGCCCCACCCTCAACTCCATGTCCCTGTGCCTGCCCAGCCCCAGTCCCAGCCTGAGGCCAGGCCCCAGGCCCCAGGCACAGCCCTGGCTTTATCCACAACTCCATGTCCCAGGCCCAGGCCCTTAATCCTACGGGGTGTTTTCCCTGTTGATTTCACATCCTTGAATTACTCAAATAGTCCTTTATTGAGCTGGATTTAGATACCTGGTTTCAACAACCTAGCCAAACTCAGACAACCTTATTAACCTGTTTGCATTCATCACCTTATTTTATCCTCATGGTATGATGAACTTGACATTGTCCATCTGGCCTTATTAACCTCCCTGCCCTACTCTCCCAGTCTTCATGACTTTTCCTAAAAATCCTGGCCTTACCGGACTGGCCGTAACTTCCTGCCATTGTCCATGTGTTCTTACTCACCTGGTTGTAACTCACTGGCCTCAGTCTCCCGGCCTAGGCCCAACCCCAGCCCCAGCCCCATCCCCATCTTTACCCAAAACTCCATGTTCCAGCTCCAGCCCCAACCCTACATTTACCCCGAACTCTACCGCCCAGGCCCAGCCCCAGCCACATCCCCAGCTTTACCCCCAATTCCATGTCCCAGCCCCAGCCCCAGGTTTACCCCCAACTCCAAGGCCCAGTCCCAGGCCCAGCCCCAGCCCTAGCTTTAGCCCCAACTTCATGTCACAGGCCCGTGCCTAGGCCCAGTCTCAGGCCCAAACCCAGCCACAGCCCCATCTTTACCCCCAACTGCATGTCCCGGCCCCAGTCCCAGGCCCCCAGGCCTAGCCATAGCTTTAACCAAACTCCACGTCTTAGGCTCAGTACCAGGCCTAGCCCCAGCTTTATCCCAAATCCGTATCCCAGTCCCAGCCCCATCCCCAGCCCCAGCCACATCTTTACCCCCAACTCCATGGCCTAGGTCCAGGCCCAAGCCCAGCCCAAGCCCTAGCTTTAGCCCCAGCTCCATGTCCCAGCTGCAGGCCCAGCCCCAGCCACAGCACCAGGCCCAGGCCCAGGCCCAGGCCCATCCCTAGCTTTGCCCAAACTTTATGTCCCAGGCTCAGGCCCAGGCCTAGGCCCGGCCCCAGCCCCAGCTTTACCACGAACTCCATGTCCCAGCTCCAGCCCAAGGCCCAGCCCAGACCCAGGCTTAGGCCCACCCCTAGCTTTACTCACAACTCCCAGGTCCAGCCCCAGCCCAATCCACAGCTTTCGCCCCAACTCCACGTCCTAGGCTCCAGCCCAGTCCCAGTCCCAGGCCCAGGCCCAGGCCCAACCCCAGATTTACCCCCAACTGCATGGCCCTGGCCCAGTCCCAGGCCCAGGCCCAGACCCAGCCATAGATTTACCCCCAATTCCATGTCCTAGTCCCAGGCCCAAGCCCAGGCCCAGGCCCAGCCCTAGCTTTACCCCCAACTCCATATCCTAGCCCCAGCCCCAGCCCCAGCCCAAGCACCAGCCTCAGCCTTACCCCCAACTCCATGTTCCTGTGCCTTTCCCAACCTGAGTCCCAGCCCGAGGCTAGGCCCCAGGCCACAGCCCTAGCTTTACCCCCAGCTCCATGTCCCAGGCCCAGGCCCTTAATTCTACTGGGTGTTTTCCCTGTTGATTTCACAGCCTGGGGTTACTGAAAGAGTCCTTTATGGAGCTGGATTTAGATAACTGGTTTCAACAACCTGGCCAAACTCAGCCAACCTTATTAACCTGTTTGCATTCACCACCTTATTTTATCCTGATGGTATGACGAACTTGACATTATCCATCTGGCCTTATTAACCTCCCTGCCCTACTCTCCCAGTCTTCATGAATTTTCCTAAAAATCCTGGCCTTACCGGACTGGCCATAACTTCCTGCCATTGTCCATGTGTTCTTGCTCACCTGGTTGTAACTGGCTGGCCTCAATCTCCTGGCCCAGGCCCAGCCCCGGCCCCATCCCTATCCCCATCCCTACCTTTACCCAAAACTCCAAGTCTCAGCTCTAGCCCCAACCCTAGGTTTACCTCCAACTCCATGTCCCAGGCCCAGGCCCAGGTCAAGGCCCAGGCCTAGCCCCAGCCCCATTAACAGCTTTACCCCCAATTCCATGTCCAAGCTCCAGCTCCAGGTTTACCCCCAACTCCATGGCCCAGGCCCAGGCTTAGTCCCAGGCCCAGCCCCAGCCCTAGCTTTAGCCGCAATTCCATGTCACAGGCCCGTGTCCAGGCCCAGTCCCAGGCTCAAACCCAGCCACAGCCACAGCTTTAACCCCAACTCCATGTCCCGGCCCAAGTCCCAGGCCCAGGCCCACCCCTAGCTTTACCCAAACTTCATGTCCCAGGCTCAGGCCGGGTCCCAGGCTCAGGCCCGGTCCCAGCCCCAGCCCCAGCCCAAGGCCCAGCCCCAGGCCCAGGCACAGCCCTAGCTTTACCCACAACTCCATGTCCTAGGCCCAGGCCCTTAATCCTACTGGGTGTTTTCCCTGTTGATTTCACATCCTTGAATTACTCAAATAGTCCTTTATTGAGCTGGATTTAGATACCTGGTTTTAACAACCTGGCCAAACTCAGACAGCCTTATTAACCTGTTTGCATTCACCACCTTATTTTATCCTCATGGTATGACGCACTTGACATTGTCCATCTGGCCTTATTAGCCCCCTTGCCCTACTCTCACAGTCTTCATGACTTTGCCTAAAAATCCTGGCCTTACCTGACTGGCCATAACTTCCTGACGTTGTCCACATGTTCTTACTCGACTGGTTGTAACTCACTGGTCTCAATCTCCCGGCCCAGGCCCAGCCCAAGCCTCAGTCCCATTCCCGTCTTTACCCAAAACTCCATGTCCCAGCTCCAGCCCTAACTAGGTTTACCTTGAAATCCATGGCCAAGGCCCAGACCTAGCTCCAGCCCCATCCCCAGCTTTACCCCAATTCTATGTCCCAGCCCCAGCCCCAGGTTTACCCCTTACACCATGGCCCAGGCCCAGCCCCAGCCCTAGCTTTATCCCCAACTCCATGTCACAGGCTCTTGCCCAGGCCCAGTCCCAGGCCCAAACCCAGCCACAGCCCCAACTTTATTCCCAACTCCATGTCCCGGGCCAAGCCCCAGGCCCAGGCCTAGCTATAGCTTTATCCAAATTCCATGTCTCAGGCTCAGTACCAGGCCCAGCCCCAGCTTTACCCTAACTGCATATCCTAGTCCCAGGCCCATCCCCAGTCCCAGCCACTGCTTTACCCCCAACTCCATGGCCCAGGTCGAGGTCACCACCCTGAGCCCTAGCTTTAGCCCAAACTCCATGTCCCAACCGCAGGCCCGGCACTAGCCCCAGGCCCGGTCA